ATCTATCTATCATCTATCTATATATGTTCTTTGTTTCCCCAGCTCAGCAGATGGAGCTTGCCAAGCCTGCAGGGAAGTGGAGACGCCTGGAGGTGCCAGACTGTGCTGGGGACACCTTTGGTCAAATGTCCCTGTCCCTCCTTTCATCATACTCCCTGTGTGGGGGTGTAGGCAGGGTCCCAAGAAGTGCTAATTGTCTTACAGCACATGGCTGCTAATGAGGGCGCTGCCTCTCACCCCTTCCCCCTTCCCCCCCAGGAGCAGCTCCTGCGCCCCAGCATGAAAACAGCTGTAACCCCCTCTCGGTGGAAAACACAGCAGCGCAGGGGGAAGACCCCCCCCCCACCGGCCCCAGGCCCGGCGCCGCGGGAATAACCGCAGCCACAGGCGGGTGAGGTCCGTCCCTTCCTTCCTGGGCACACCTATGGAGCCCACCTATTTTAAATGGGCTCTACCATCCAGTTTTATCACCTGGCTTGCAACTCAATATATTGGGAACATTTTCTCTTTTACAGCGGTTAAAATAACTGCCTGGCATGGGATAAGCATAACTGATTACGCGCTCCTGTTGGGGAAATTTAGATATAATTTTTTTCCAAGGAGACTCGATTCTCTTTATGCCTTGAGGAAAAAGGGGTGGCCTTGTCTCCTGCAGCCTTCTGTAGGAACTGCCCTCTGACTTAGCCTCACTTGCTTCCCTGTGCCCATCGCGTCATCGGTTAAGTAACCCACCTCACTGTTCCCACTCCCCCCTCTTTGCCCCTCTCTCCGCCTGGTGTCCCTGGCCCCGGGCGCCCTTCCTTCCTCCAGCGTCCGCACCCGGTCCTTCGTCTCTGACACCTGCCCATCCCCTCTCGTTTGCTCCCCTCGCAGAGGCTTCCATTCCATTTCCAGACGCTGTCTTAACTGATTGTGATCAACTCTACACATTAGATTAGCTTTTAATAACCTGAAGATAGGATTTATTTGTTTAAAGGAAAATATTAAGAAGCTCTTGGTAGAGTTCCATGTATCAAGACACATAGCACTTGGGCACAATGTAGAGATGACTGAAGTTTTTCTTTTTTTTTAAGTAGTTTTTTTACGGAGGGCAGGGTAGAGGTAAGTAGTTGGTTCAGGCAAATCTAACATATTGCGCTTTGCTTTATTGCACTTCACAGATATTGCATTTTTTTTTTTTAAAAAAAAACACCAAAAACAAAAAACGAAGGTAAGACCCTCCACCCACAAAAAGATTACGACTCGCCAAAGGCTCAAAATGATGGTTACAATTTTTTAGAAGCAAAATATTTTTAATTAAGGTATGTGCATTGTTTTAGACATAATGCCACTGCGCATGTAACAGACTACAGTATAGTGTAAACAACTTTATATGCACTGGGAAACCAAAGATTTCATGGGACTCGCTTTATTGCGATATTAGCTTTACCGCGGTGGTCTGGAGCCAAACCTGCAATATCTTTGAGAGATGCCTGTACTGCAGGAATGCTAGGGACCCTTATGGAAATCTGTTCACTACTTCAAGGCAACTCACAAATGATCAGCTCCCAGGATGTTGGAGGGACAGCCTTTAAAGGCCATGACATTTGCACGACCAACGTTGCACGTAGATGTAGATGTGGATTAATATGGACTCTGTATAGCGAGGCAGGTGGCAGCCAACGTGAGAACAGTGCACGCAGATGGTGTTAAGTCTGGAGCCCTGGAAGCCGCAAGGTGCTCATCCATCACATGGCCATCTGGAAAGTAGGGACGCTCGGTCATTAAAGGAAATCCCTCCGGCAGTAGGTCCCGCTGCCCACACACGTGGCATATTACACGAGCCAAAAATCAGTTGGGGCCCAGCATTTGATGAGTACAGGGTGCTTATGAGATCAACAGTACTGACTACACGAATTTAGACTGCTGAAAAAAGTCTTTCAACAAAAGCTGCCACAGGCCGACTGTGAACTTGCTCTTCCCTGGACTTGGGCTTTCTCACACCTGGTCACCTACCCCAGCCAGCGACACCTTCAATCAATTCCAGGGGTGCAGCAGAACTAGGTTAGCCTCCGATGATTAAGGACACAGCATGTTCTGGGCCCAAGTTGCAGGAAGAAACTACAGTCCCCACCCACACTTACCAAATGCCTGTCCTGGGCCTGACACCCAGGATGCAAATGGGGAAGACACAGTCCCCACCTGGGTGTGGGTCCCATCTTGTACTCAATGAGGCAACTGCTTTTACCTGCATTTCACTGTCTAACATCTGCAGGGATGGAACTACGAGAGGCCTCTGAACTTGGGTGGACCTACAAACCTGGCTCAGGTCGGGGTGGGGAGAGAACCCTCTCCTCTTGTCCCCCTTTAGGTCCCAGCCTTTCTTGTCATTGTTTCCCTCAAATCAATAAAAATCAACAGGGTGAAAAGGTTCTGAGACTAATCACTAGGAGGGCCTGTATAGGGACCCGTTAGGACCCACAAGTCCCTAAGGAGTGAGAGTGGGGTCAGGCCTGTGGTATAATTTAAGGGCATTAATTGGAGCTGGGGGCCCCCACCCCACTGCTGGGGTGGCTACTAACTGAGCTGTCCCCCTAGAGATTGTCTGGGTCTCCCCGCCCCAAGGAAAGGACACCAGAAAGCACCTTTCGGTGTTTTAAGAGGCCAAGCCTTTTCTCATTTCTTTTCCTCAACAGACATTCACATGCTATAAAGTGTCAGAGACTTGGAATAAGTCTCCACCCGAAAGGCAGCATGGGTCGCGACATCGAGGGTGTAAATATCACGGATGCCAAGGTGACCATCCCATCTGGAGTCCTTGATGCTTTTCCAAGCGGAACTCTGGCTGCCAGTCTCTAGCAAGCCACAGGGTAAAACAAGAGACCCCTTTGGCTAAGTGCCCACAGGCAACTACCCACCAACCGAGAGGGCAATGCCACTTACCGCAACCTGGTAGGAACGTCTGAGGGAAGCAGCGCAGCCGGCCGTGCCAGCATTTGCACATGGAACACCTCCGGGGCAGCCAGGTGCCGTGGGGCACAGACCCGCAGTTCCTGAGTGAGTGGATCCGGCGACACATATGTATTTCAAGCCCCACTTCTCCTTCCCTCTCCTCTCCCTCGCGCCCCCTTTTAGTGGCTTACTCTCTGCGCTTGTCGTGCTCACAGTTGCGTCCGTAGAAGGAGGGAGGGCAGGCACAAAAGGACCCCAGCATGCAGGTTCCCCCATTCAGGCAGCAGGTTTTGTTGAGCTCCTTACCTGAGAGGTAAGAGGCGGCTGAGAGGGTGGAGGGGTTGGAGAGCTGAGCTCCTGTCAGCAAAGGCTAGTAGAGTGCCAAGGATGTCATCTCCCCAAAGTGTGGGCAGATGTCTAAACATTGCCCACCTCACAGAATAAGACTTGGGGCTTTAGCGTTCCTTCTGCTACTTGTGTCTTTGAGCAGAGAAATCTTTTCCATGCAAAGGCCAGTGGAGGTTCCTGGAGTCCCCAGCACCAAGTGGAATCAGGTGAAGGAAACTCCAGGGGCGTGAGGTACCTAAAGCCTTTCTCGCCCCCATCATGAAACCCTGTCCAACCATCTGCCCGATTCCAGAAGCAGGTTCCCACTCTCTCCAGGTGAAAGGGGATCTAAAGATAGGAAACACAGGAAGGGCCAGGAGAGGGACATCACCCACAGTGTAGATCTAAGGCAGGTGGGTCTTACTGTCCTGGATTCTCATGGGTGGCACAAGCTGGAAAGGCCGATGACGAATTGTAGGCTCCTCCTGGGACCAAGGGCTGTCGTCTCTGAAGGCCAGGTCTCCCTGCCACGGACGTGCAAGTTCATGGCCCAACCCTTAACGACAAAATCAACTCATGGAGTCTGTGTTTCGGGCCACGTAAAAATTGCTAGTAATCAAAAGAACCAAAAGTCTCTTACCAGCCACTAATTCCAGTTCAAATGCTTTGGAAATGGCCAAGATCAAAATCACCCTAGGAATAGGAAATCAGATGCTGTTAGCAAAACAAAGCAGATGAAACCTTTCAGGCCAACACCTGGGGCTTCCCATCACAAGGACAAGACGCGGTCATACCTGGAAGAGAGGCACTCCGTCTTCCAGCCGCCCATGGCTCCTAACAATGCAGGGGGCAATGTTAGCATGGCTTTAATTCAGTCGTTGCAAAACCCCCAAAGGAAAACACTGATTTATTGACATGAAAATGGGAATTTAAAAAGAAAAATACCCCAGATGAGAAATATGCGTTTCCCAGGTCTCAGGAGAAGCAGGAGCCAGGATGTCTGGGGAAACCAGGATGGGGGGTGGAGTGGGGGCGGCGCTCATCACAACCTTGGGTCCCAATCCTTAGCCAGGGACTCAGCCTTCCCGGGATTCCCCTCCTCTCCTCCCGGGGCGGGCAACGGGGACCCCCGCCGGGCACAGCGCTTAAGCTCTCCCGGGGTGGAGGTGAGAGGCGGTAAAGCTCCCCCCCAACAAAGAGTGGAAAAGGCAGAGCCTTGTAAAACGGTGGTTAACCAGGCCTAATGTCCGTCATTAGTTTTGGGTTAAAAATATCAGATTTATTTTTTTGGGGGGAAAAAAAAAAAGGCAAATCAACGACACTATCCAGTTGGCGATTCCAGGTCGGGGAGTGGTGGGCAGTAATTGTTTGGTCAGGAAATTCTAAACACCATGTATGGGCTCGCAAGGTGTTTGATATTTTATTGCTAAGTTTTAATTCTTGAAATTTGCTTTCATTTTTGTTTTTCCAAGAAAGGTGCGTTGAGCCTGGTGCTCTGCCGGGGGCAGACTCAGGTGGGCCGGTGGCGAGTTCAGTGTGTGTGTGTGTGGGGGGGGGCGGGCGAAAGGCCGGGAGGCTGGCAAAGGAGCTGGAGGTTCAGAGTCAGGAAGGGTCCTGGAGGGGTTCCCCACCTCAGGTAACTGAGTTTAAGGCCTGGCGCTGCGCCTCCCGGGCAGGCTGCTGGCAGCCCCTTGGGGTCTGCAGTCAGGGTGCCAGGCCTGCCTCAGGGAAAAGTTCTAGAAAGATGGCAGTCCAGCCTGGGAGGCCATTTCAGCCTGGCCACGGGGTTTCACCGGGATTTTTCAGTCTCCCAGGGCCCCCGCAGTGTGGCCCCTTCCATTCCCTCACCCCAGCCCTCATGACACCAGCGTTAACCCCAAATTCAGAGGCATCCCGTGTTACCCTCAAGGCGTTTATTTGGGGGTCACACCACAGCTGGCGAGGTGCATCCACTCACCGAACACAGTGCCCCAGAGTGTTTAATTCGTTACTAAACACGCCCAAAGTCATGGGTAGCTCCTAAATATAATTTAATTCTAATTCCTAAAGTCAAAGCCTGGCGTTTACCTAACATTGCCAGCTACACAAGCGGGAAGCTTTTCTGAAAGTTCTCTTTTCACCCAGGTTCATAGGATTTACACGCGACAGAAGGGATCCGCTGCACTGAGGCCATTTCAGTGTCAGTGTCCACCTGTGTGACCGCGCTGGGTCCACCAGTGCTGAAAAGGGCCGCTATTAGCTCTTCCACCTGCATCTCCGGAGAGTTAAATGTAAGATTATTTTTATTGGGGGTAGGGCCCTATGCGAACCGTGGGCGGATGCGCCCATTTACTCACAGCTGGCAGCATTTTCAGCTCCGCAGCCGCAGGCCACTCCCCGTGTGGCCTTTCAGCTCCTGGTGGCATGCAGACATTCCTGGGGGCCGGGGGACTTGGCCCGGGGGCTGGAGGCCGGATGTGGGGGAGGGCGGCACAGAGGAGGTGACCCACCCAACCCCAGGGGCTGCCAGGAGGCTCACAGGAACAAAGAAAGTGCTTGGTGGAGCGCTCAGACCTCAACACCCAAGTGGGAATAGCATGGCCACGAGTGGTCTCGCTTTAGAGATGAGACGACCCAGTCCGTCCGTGGGTTTGAGTGTCTTCTCCACGGAGGCTGGGCAGGCAGCATTGGCACCTCCTACTCCAAAGGGGCTGTTGAGGACCTTTTCGAATTTGAACTAGGACCCCTGGCAAAGGCCTCCCCATTTTCAGAGGAAAGAACTGAGACCCTGAGCCTGGCGCTGGGTGAGCTCAGTCCACAACCCAGGGCTGCCAGCCTTCCTGCCGCACCACGTCTATTGTCTGAGGACAGGAACTCACTGAAAAGACCTGCAGAGGCGGAGAAAGTGAAGTGTGTGCAGCGTAGACAGAGCCCGGTCAGTTTCCGGATAGGAGGGCTGTGGTGTTTGGGTGGCCAGGGAGTTGCTGTGGGGCTGGGGACCCACAGGCTGTTCATTAAACAGGTATTTAATGCACGTGCTATGTTGCTATGGGCTCTCGGGACACGGTTCTGAGACGTGACCCCACTGTGTAGTGGGGGAGAAAGGCCAGTAATCAGTGGCTGTAATTGGGGTAACTGCAAAAACTTGCTTCTGCCTCTGAGTGGGGGACTTGACGGATGACCGTAGAATGGCCACTGGACACCTCTGCTGGGTCACCGATGGAACTGACAGAGGCTGCCCAGCCTTCAGCCAGTGAGTTCTGTGTGTCTGAGACCCACGGAGCACCAGGCTTGGGGGTAGGACACACTGGAATGGGGGGGTTCCCCAGTCCCGGGCAGCCCGCCTCACCCCTAGAGGAGGGCACTTAGGACTGAAAGTGAAAAACAGATTTTCTTGGCCTTGGGACATTTCCGTGTCACCCTCAAGCTGTTACTGTGTATTAAAAGCTGGGGCAGGAGAGACAGAATTGTGTGTTTAAAATCACACAAATAAGCATTTGACTTAAAACCATCCAGCCAACCAAGAAGAGTCAAACCAAAAAACATCATCGCCGGAAGACAGACTCCCGGTGTCTGTCTAAAATTCAAGGAAGGAGACACAGTGGGAGGTGGGGTAGGTGTGAGCTTGGTCAAGAATGTATGGACTTAAACCCCAACTAAAGAGGTAACCGAAAGGACAGCCACTTCTTCAGCGCAATGACAAGGCTTTCAGGTAAAGGATACTTTTATCGTAGAGCTCCTAGGGTCACACAGTGTCTTACCTGTCACCGCTCCTGGAACATTCAGGCGGCCGGGCTGGGAAGTCCCTCCAGTTGAGGACCGCAGGGCCTCTGGTCCCACCCAGCGCAGCGCCCCACAGCCGGCGACAAGGCCTCGCCCATTCATTAGCAAGTTAATGGCTTTCTGTTCTCGCCAATGAACTTAACCAGCAACTGGAAGCCTAGCCTGCATTTGCCACTAATCGCTGTGGGGTTTAGAGGAATGGATTCTTGCTCTCGCAAATTTGCAGTCTCAGTGGGGAAGACAGGCTCACGCCAGTCACTTAAAAGCTCAACTGTTCTATAAACTGGGTAGGAAGGAAGAGAAGGGCTTAGGAGGGGGCTCCGTGTGTGTGTGTGTGTGTGTGTGTGTGTGTGTGTGTGTATTATATGAGTTCCTCTATAGACACATGAATTACTCAGTCATGAATGGACACGGCGTGTTTCCGCATTTTGTGATGAACTCCCGTGAACAGGCATCCTAGCGGATGCTTGAGAGTATGTATATCCGCCTGGTAAATTGCTTGGCTAAAAGGCGAACATTTCCAAATTAACTTTCCAAGAAGGCTGCACCGGTCTCCTTCCCCCGCCCCCCCATATCCTTACCAGCTGGCTGCACTGTCTCTTAATTTTTGCTAATTCCGTGTCTGAAAATAGAACATCTTTGTTGTTTGGATTCGCGTGGTTTCCTGTATTTTATGGGATGCTTGGACTGTCGGCCCTGCAACAACGTGCGCTGGAACTGAGAGGGTCCACTTATATGTGGATTTTTCTCAATAAATAATGTAATGTGTTTTCTCTTCCTTACGATTTTCTTATAACATTTTCTCTTCTCTAACTTATTTTATGGTAAGAATAGAGTATATAATAGGTATCACATACAAAATATGTGTTAATGGACTGTTTTTGCTATTGGTAATGCTTCCGGTCAATAGTTGGCTATTAATAGTTAAGTTTTGGGGGAGGCACAAATTATATGTGGGTTTTCAACTGCTCTGGGGGTCAGCGCCCCTAACCCGTGTTGTTCAAGGGTCAACTGTATTTCTTTTTCCGTGACTTGGCAGGCAGCTCTTAGAGGGAACTTGAACTGGATTCTTTTTGGAGACTCAGCCCAGAGGCCGTTTGCTCTGGGAAGCCCATCCGGATACCCTCCTCCCTTCCCTGGTTTCCGACTGAGAGGCCCTGCGGCCCCATCCTGGTACCAGGGCAAGCGGCTTGTCTTCTTGTCTTTCACCAATCCTGCCCCCTGTCCTGGGTCCCCCAGACTCGGTGGTCCAGAGACCAGGGTCCTGGCAACCTCAGCTTTCCCAGCCTCCAGTGCAGGGCCTGCCCGCGCTGGCTTCCTCTTCTTAAGTCTTAGTCCATCTGACGGAAATGTCAGGTCTCAGCCTTAGTTTCTACAAGGGGGTGGTGTGAGGCCAGGGCAAGGACTTTGAGAAGCACCGCAGGAAAGCAACCCTCTTTCCCATCCTGAGCCGGGAAACACAACAAAAAAGGGAAGGGAAACAAATCCCAAGAAGTCCAAGCAATGCGGAATTTGGGGCAGCTTGTTCAGGGGAGTTTACCAGGGGAATATCTAAGACAAGATAATCGTGAGGCACTCGCTGGAAATCATGGCAGGGTAAGGGAAGTCTGATTGAGACTTTCAGGCATGGATATGGTTTAGGATTCTTTCTCACTAAAATTTTGCTCCTTCCAACCAAATTCAACAGATATTTGCTCACCAGCTACTCTGCGCTGAGTGCAGTGAGGAGACAGCTTTCCAAGGCAGCTCCCACTCCCTCTCCCTGTCTCCCCAGTTAAGATAAGCCCAGTAATCTACGCCAAGTGCCATTTTAGTGTTATCAAAAAGCTGCTAATTGGGAGAAGGCAGTCACTCCCTGATTCCAAGGCCAGTGGCCCCAGCAGACAGATGGATGGGCAGACAGACTCCCAGGAGTGAGACTTAGGAGGGCAAGCGGGGGTCCCGCGTGCGTTCACAAGGCCTGGAGAATCTCACTTAAAGCGCTTCCTAAGTGGATTTTGTATTTGTTAACATCCAGGCATTCTTCACAGCTCTTAAGGGTTTTGAAATGGATTAAATGCAAGCGGAGGAAGGCGGAGTGCAAAACCTAACCTGTGTCAGAAATGAGTTCAAGTGCTCTAGTGAGAAGATTTCCAGGAGGCAGATGATCCCGGGCACTTTGAAGTGTGCCCCACTCTGGAAACGCAGCTGAGCCAGACTGGACTCCTGACCTACGGGGATTCTGAGATAATAAATGATGACAACTGAGTTTGTGAGAATTTGTTTCACAATGATATAAAATGAATACGAATACTTTAAAACTTTTTTATGGCAGTATATCGTGCATTCATAAAAGTGTACAGATAGTAAGGGGTTACAATTAGTAAGTTATTCAGAAGCGAGTACCATGGAACCACTACTCAGGTCAAGAAGCTTATTACTAGAATTCCAGAAATCCACCCCATGCCTCTTCACAATGACCACCCCTTCCCTCTTCCCCAAAGCTAACCACGTTTCTGATTTCAGATCCCATAGATTGATTTTTCTGTGGTTTTGAAACTTTATAAAAGTCTACTTCTTTTTGCTCGACTTTATGTTGACGAGAATCATTCATGATGTTTGTAGAGGTTTGCTCATGTTCATTGCTGTATAGTATTCCACCGCATTGAATCTATATGAAGGTTCAGCACCACTTATTTATTTTTAATTACAGTTGATATACAATATTAGCTTCAAGTGTACAGCATAGTGAGTCAACATTTTTATACCTAACAAAGTTATCACAATAAGTCTAGTAGCTATCTGTCACCTTACATAGTTATTACAATATTATTGACTTCATGCCCTATTCAGCACCATTTATTGAAAAAAAACCATTCTTATATTACTGCTCTACAATACCATTTTCATCAGGAATCAATGATTGTGTGTTTGTGAGCTTGTTTTTTTATGCTTTTTGCGTTTGGTTTGTCTATTTGTGCCAATACCATCCTGTCGTCATTACTGTAACTTTATAATAGTCCTTGATATTTGGCATAGCAAGTACTCTCCCTTTGTTCTTTATATTAAAGATTATCTTGACTATACTTGATCTTTTACATTTCCATATAACTTTTAAATACGTTTCTAAATTTCCAAAAAATTCTGTTGGGATTTTGATTAGAGTGCATTGACTCTTCAGAGGGGAGTTGGAATGAACATCTGTGTCATATTGGGTCTTCCAGTCCATGAAGATTTGTTCAGGTGTTGTTTAATTTCTTTCAATAATTTTTATAGTTTTCTATATAGAGGTTTGCACAGTTTAGTTAATATTTGTTTCCTTTTAATGTTTAAGGAAATGGTATCTTTCACTTCAATTGTTGTGGTTACAGATATTTATATTGAACATGTATCTAACTGACCTTATGAAATTTGCCTATTCTATTAGTTTGCTAGGGCCACCATAACAAATACCATAGGCCAAGGGGCTTAAACAACAGAGATTCCTTTTCTCACAGCTCTGAAGGCTAGAAGTCCAAGATGAAGTTGTCTGCAGGTTTGGTTTCTTCTGAGGCCTCTTGCAGGCAGCCACCTCCTTGTTGTGTTCTCACAGGGTCTTTCCTCTGTGTGTCACACTCTGTCCTAATCTCTTCTTACAAGAATACGAGTCATGTTGCATTAGGGTCCACCCATATGACTTCATTTATCTTAATTACCCCTTTAAAGGCCCTATCTCCAAGAGTTACTTCTGAGGTACTATTGCAGGTTAAGACTTCAAGATATAAATTTTGGGGTGATCCAGTTCAGCCTATAAAATTTATTTACCAAGTTCCATAGTTTATCTGAAATTGAAATGTACCCGAAAGCATTTTTATATTTGCTAAATTTCTCAGTCCTATTTGGTGCACATTACAGTGGAAGGAGCCTGGGCTATGCCATAGCCGCTTCTCCCACACCAGCATCATCAAAACATCCCACTGCAGTTGGAATTTTGAATGAATTTGTGGGGAAAAATATTTTTCCATTTAAGTATGATTAAGCTTTTAAATATTTAGCGCTCATAAATTGAAATAGTATTTAAGTAATATCTATCTGAACTGAAACTGCTTTTTCCATTTATATTCTTTGGTTCATAATACCACAAAAACAAAAACAAAAAAACCCCAAACAAACAAAAACCAAACCAAACATTAACTACTAAGTAGGTAACTTACGTTATTTATCAAAAGAGAAAAACAATATAAAAATTCTATTCTAAGTAGTAAGAAGCACACCCAACACTTTAGAGGTCTGATTTAATATAGTCACACAGGTGTTTTTTTTGCACCCCACCAACTTAGTGTACAATATAAAATGATGATTTAATTATAAGTGTCAACAATTATAAATGTCAACAAATAAAAAATATTCTACAAAGAAAATAGTCCTCAGAATCAAACCATTTTATAATTAGACTTACTGTGCGTATATTAGACAAAGGTGTGCTTGTGGTTAGGGCACAGGTGTGAGGCGTGTTGCGGGGCGGGGTGTGTGGATTGGGCCCAGGGCGCTAGATTCCGGATGATTAACTAATTATCAAATTGTCAGCATGTTGGCTATGAACAAATACTATTTTCCCAGGTAGTAAAATCTCTAAAGAGAACCTAAACTCACGTACGTTGTAAGAAATTAAAAAGGAAAGAAAAACACCCTGTAAGAATAAAATCAAGACCTTGCACACCTGTTGCTTCGAATATTGAAAAAACATTTTACGCGCCCTGGGTCCCTGGCTTTCTTCTGCTTTCCGGCGGCTCCCAGCTGGAGCGCGGAGCCGGGGCCCTTTCCCTTTCCCCGGGCCCTTTCCCTTTCCCGGGGCCCTTTCCCTTTCCCGGCCCCCTTCAGGCAGCACACTCCCGGGTTTCCAGCGTCCAAAGGCCCCGCCACCCNGGCCGGGCCGCCGTTTGCGCGGTGCCAAGCCCTCCCCGCGAGGTCTGTTTTGTGTCCTGCCGGGCTGAGTCACATAGAATAGATAGCAGGTCGTTGATCAGCACATGTCCTGCAGATCTGTTTTCAGCTTACAAATATAGCCCGTGAGCGCACAGGCCGCGGCTGGGCACTTGGAGCGCGTCCGGCT